TAAAGGAGAGGAGATACCCCTGAGTTAAAGGAGAGGAGATACCCCTGTGTTAAAGGAGAGGAGATACCCCTGAGTTAAAGGAGAGGAGATACCCCTGAGTTAAAGGGCAAGAGGAGATACCCCTGTGTTAAAGGGCAAGAGGAGAGACCCCTGTGTTAAAGGGCAAGAGGAGATACCCCTGTGTTAAAGGGCAAGAGGAGAGACCCCTGTGTTAAAGGAGAGGAGAGACCCCTGTGTTAAAGGAGAGGAGATACCCCTGTGTTAAAGGGCAAGAGGAGATACCCCTGTGTTAAAGGAGAGGAGATACCCCTGTGTCAAAGGGCAAGAGGAGATACCCCTGTGTCAAAGGGCAAGAGGAGATACCCCTGTGTTAAAGGGCAAGAGGAGATACCCCTGTGTTAAAGGAGAGGAGATACCCCTGTGTTAAAGGAGAGGAGAGACCCCTGTGTTAAAGGAGAGGAGATACCCCTGTGTTAAAGGGCAAGAGGAGATACCCCTGTGTTAAAGGAGAGGAGATACCCCTGTGTTAAAGGAGAGGAGAGACCCCTGTGTTAAAGGAGAGGAGATACCCCTGTGTCAAAGGGCAAGAGGAGATACCCCTGTGTTAAAGGAGAGGAGATACCCCTGTGTTAAAGGGCAAGAGGAGATACCCCTGTGTCAAAGGGCAAGAGGAGATACCCCTGTGTTAAAGGGCAAGAGGAGAGACCCCTGTGTTAAAGGAGAGGAGATACCCCTGTGTTAAAGGAGAGGAGAGACCCCTGTGTTAAAGGAGAGGAGATACCCCTGTGTCAAAGGGTAAGAGGAGATACCCCTGTGTTAAAGTAGAGGAGATACCCCTGTGTTAAAGGAGAGGAGAGACCCCTGTGTTAAAGGAGAGGAGATACCCCTGTGTCAAAGGGTAAGAGGAGATACCCCTGTGTTAAAGGAGAGGAGATACCCCTGTGTCAAAGGGCAAGAGGAGATACCCCTGTGTCAAAGGGCAAGAGGAGATACCCCTGTGTTTAAAGGGCAAGAGGAGAGACCCCTGTGTTAAAGGAGAGGAGATACCCCTGTGTTAAAGGAGAGGAGAGACCCCTGTGTTAAAGGAGAGGAGATACCCCTGTGTTAAAGGGCAAGAGGAGATACCCCTGTGTCAAAGGGCAAGAGGAGATACCCCTGTGTCAAAGGGCAAGAGGAGATACCCCTGTGTCAAAGGGCAAGAGGAGATACCCCTGTGTCAAAGGGCAAGAGGAGATACCCCTGTGTTAAAGGGCAAGAGGAGAGACCCCTGTGTTAAAGGGCAAGAGGAGATACCCCTGAGTTAAAGGGCAAGAGGAGATACCCCTGTGTTAAAGGAGAGGAGATACCCCTGTGTTAAAGGAGAGGAGAGACCCCTGTGTTAAAGGAGAGGAGATACCCCTGTGTCAAAGGGCAAGAGGAGATACCCCTGTGTTAAAGGAGAGGAGATACCCCTGTGTTAAAGGGCAAGAGGAGAGACCCCTGTGTTAAAGGAGAGGAGATACCCCTGTGTCAAAGGGCAAGAGGAGATACCCCTGTGTTAAAGGGCAAGAGGAGATACCCCTGTGTTAAAGGGCAAGAGGAGATACCCCTGTGTTAAAGGAGAGGAGATACCCCTGTGTTAAAGGGCAAGAGGAGAGACCCCTGTGTTAAAGGAGAGGAGATACCCCTGTGTCAAAGGAGAGGAGATACCCCTGTGTTAAAGGGCAAGAGGAGAGACCCCTGTGTTAAAGGAGAGGAGATACCCCTGAGTTAAAGGAGAGGAGATACCCCTGTGTTAAAGGAGAGGAGATACCCCTGTGTCAAAGGGTAAGAGGAGATACCCCTGTGTTAAAGGAGAGGAGATACCCCTGTGTCAAAGGGCAAGAGGAGATACCCCTGTGTCAAAGGGCAAGAGGAGATACCCCTGTGTTAAAGGGCAAGAGGAGAGACCCCTGTGTTAAAGGGCAAGAGGAGATACCCCTGAGTTAAAGGGCAAGAGGAGAGACCCCTGTGTTAAAGGAGAGGAGATACCCCTGTGTTAAAGGAGAGGAGAGACCCCTGTGTTAAAGGAGAGGAGATACCCCTGTGTCAAAGGGCAAGAGGAGAGACCCCTGTGTTAAAGTAGAGGAGATACCCCTGTGTTAAAGGAGAGGAGATACCCCTGTGTTAAAGGGCAAGAGGAGAGACCCCTGTGTTAAAGTAGAGGAGATACCCCTGTGTCAAAGGGCAAGAGGAGATACCCCTGTGTTAAAGGGCAAGAGGAGATACCCCTGTGTTAAAGGGCAAGAGGAGATACCCCTGTGTTAAAGGAGAGGAGATACCCCTGTGTTAAAGGGCAAGAGGAGAGACCCCTGTGTTAAAGGAGAGGAGATACCCCTGTGTCAAAGGAGAGGAGATACCCCTTTGTTAAAGGGCAAGAGGAGAGACCCCTGTGTTAAAGGAGAGGAGATACCCCTGAGTTAAAGGAGAGGAGATACCCCTGTGTCAAAGGGCAAGAGGAGATACCCCTGAGTTAAAGGAGAGGAGATACCCCTGTGTCAAAGGGCAAGAGGAGATACCCCTGTGTTAAAGGGCAAGAGGAGATACCCCTGAGTTAAAGGGCAAGAGGAGATACCCCTGTGTTAAAGGGCAAGAGGAGATACCCCTGTGTTAAAGGGCAAGAGGAGATACCCCTGTGTTAAAGGGCAAGAGGAGATACCCCTGTGTTAAAGGGCAAGAGGAGATACCCCTGTGTCAAAGGGCAAGAGGAGAGACCCCTGAGTTAAAGGGCAAGAGGAGAGACCCCTGTGTTAAAGGGCAAGAGGAGAGACCCCTGTGTTAAAGGGCAAGAGGAGATACCCATGAGTTAAAGGGCAGTTAGCGGTGATTGCACGTCTGCTTGTTTCTCATCCGTTCTCTGAGTTGACCTCTGAACCCATTGAGAGTGGGATGATCCCGTATCTCAGGGAGGCTGTTCCACAAAGAGCTGTCCTTAATGGAGAGGACATTTAGTCCCAAAGTGGTCCGTCTGCGCTGGACCTCACAGTCTCCTCTGGTGTCTGACCTAGTGCAGCGTTTTTATATAAAGTATACATATAAGTATTTCCCTAAATTATTAAAATCTTTACCTTTGTTTAGGTGCATTTCTGAAGGTCATGCATGTAGATAATATAACATATAAAAGGTATATTCATTTCACCTTGCATAATAATAATAACAATAATAATAATAATAATTGGAAACAAAAGAAATACATAATAATAATAACATAAAAAGTCAAAATCAACAAGGCATTCACATTTCTGACGGTCCTGAAAAAGACTCTCCGGAGTGATGTGTGTCATTTGTATACAAACTCATGCAAAGAGGAACTTCTCCAGGAAGTTTATTTTTACTCTCCAGTGACCGGAAACACACACACACACACACACACACACACACACACACACACACACACACACACACACACACACACACACACACACACACACACACACACACACACACACACACACACACACACACACACACACCACACACTGTAGAGTAAAGAGTTGTTCTGGTGCAACACTCAGTGACCGTTAACGTTCAAACCACGAAGAGCATTCCTCAGTTCAAACAAAGGACACACACACACACACACACACACACACACACACCACACACACACACACACACACACACACACACACACACACACACACACACACACACACACACACACACACACACTGTAACAGAGGGTCTCTGTTTGCAGTCGCTGACCCACTTCTTTTGTCTCTCGTTCAACAGAATGGTGTCAGATTCTTTGTACTGACTAAAAGAAGGAAGTATTTGAGGAAAACATTTCGCGAACCGCTTCAACACGTGTGTTTCGGTTTTATTCACGGCATTCTTTTGTTATTCTACAGTATTGTTGTTTTATAGTTATTTGTTAATGTAACCCAATTTGTGTTCTTTGAAATTGAAAAGGATATCGCATTGTGTTTGTTACTTTCGTTGCATTTGTAAATGTCTTAAGTGTAATTTGGCTTGGCTTCCTATTTATGGACATGCTTTTATTTTGAAGGAGAGCTAGCGCTGTTGACAGGAAGTTGTTGTTGCTATGGAAACAACGTGACGGAGATTAACGGAGAAAAAGTAATATCTACATATAAAGACGGAGAAAGTAAACGATAACGTTTATGGTTAAGTGTTAGCACCCCCCGGAGAGGCACAAGCTCTTACGTTGATATTGGAGATTTCAATACATTCAAAAAACGAAAATCCGAATAACGAAATTGAAACCCGAATAGCACTGCAACGAACGAATATTCTGATATTCAGGTACAGCCCAGGCATGAGCGTCAGTTCTCAAGTTAGCGTGGCTAGGATGTTGCATTGTATCTTGTGGAACATTACAAGTAAAGTACGTGAGAGTAAGATAGTGTGTCCTTATTATCAGTATAGTACACAATACACATTGAAACATGTCCTTAATCTGTGATCCACATATACAATAAAAACTCCCTCTGAAGGGAACACAGGGATTTTAGCCGTTGGAGACCATTTACATGCACTAAAACCTATATGACACTATGAGGAGAGGCAACACCACAGGACTACTTAAACCATGTTGTAATGGTTTGTGTGATACTGAGATGATGCGGTGCTTGCTGATTGTTGTGTACCTGCCTAAGGACTGCAGATGGGAATATTCATCTGGCATCATTCATCTCCTCTCTTCTCTGAGATGAATGTATTTGTATGCACGGTCCTCTTTGAAACACGTATAACAATAGAAAGCAGAATAGGGCCTCTTTAATTAACTCAAAATCTAAGGACCTGTTGCAGGATCTCCACATATTGAAGTTGGTAGAGTCTACACTTCTTAATCTTTTAATGTATTTCCCACGTTGGGTCTGACTAACAACTGGATCCTCATGCAGTCACACAGATCTTGTGACTGCATGTTAGACTCCTCCGGCAGCTCGGGGGTTAACAGGAAACATGACCTCACCGCTAACCGCTGGTCTGTTCTTCTTCTTCTTCTTCTGCTGCAGGATGTGAGAGAAGATCACCAGACACACGGAACCACTGAAGGAAAGCAGACGGTGTTTGTGCAGGACGTCTGAAGGTAAAACCCTCCTGCTGTGTGCGTTTATAAAACCTCGCGTTTATTATCTCATCGAGGCTTGTGTCCGTTACTCCCTCTGTGCTCTGACAGCTGATCTGAGGCTCTGGAGAGTTTCAGAAGTTAAACACAAGGAGGAAGGAAGCATGTTATTACCTTGTATCGTCTGAAAACCTGCTCTAATGTCTTTCTTAAAATCTAATAAACTGTACTTCGTCATGATCTCACTGTACTCAGTTGTAATATTGTTCTTCTCTTGCTCCTCCTCTTGTTTCCGTACACTCTAATGTTTCTGTTGACATCACTGAACCTCAAAGCTAAGTGCCTGACCTGGATGGATAAACCTGCATGGCAATAAACCTGGTTCTGATCGACCCAACAGAGAGAGGCGTGTTTGCATTCACATATTTTCCTATTTTGAAGCACATTTTGAAGCGACGACATACACACGTCCATAGTACAACACGACGGCACAATGTATACTTTTATATTGAAACACTTGGTCTGCAGGTTTTCAAGGAGTCTTAAAGTCAAATCTCTGCTCTGAAAATATGTCAATTTTCGTGAACAACAATTCAAACCCAAGCTAAACTTCCTTCCACATATGTCAAGGTGATTTAGATTAGTTTTTGTCCCTGTGGAAAGATGTTGTATTTGATACATGGGATGAATTCAGACGTCGCAGACAGTTAACTCATGTTCTTAACTTTGATACGAGTACAGTCCATTTACATGTACCTACATATAAACACAACTAGTGAGGCACACTGTTCTATTATCATGAACACACACACACACACACACACACACACACACACACACACACACACACACACACACACACACACACACTGTCCTGCTGACACACTCAGAGCACAAAGTGTAGATTCCTCCGGCACTGAAAATAGTCCCTAACAAACGTTCCTCTTGTTTGTTGTTAACATTATGAGCTAACTGAGAGAATATCTGTGCTTTCAAACCACAGACGAGTCGAGACGTTAGTGTTTAGAGACGGACTCCATCTTTGTTTATTTGTTATTTTTTGACCGTAAGAAAGAAATGGCTGCTCTTTCTCTCAGCCGGTGCCGGGTTTATGATTTCTTCGGCTGCTTATTGAAATAACTGAGACTTTGGTATAAAAATAAAACCCTATATTTGTGTTTTTAGAGATGTATGTTCCCAGTATGAACCACAGGCAGAGTCGAGACGATAGAGACGGACTAAAACATTATTATTGTTTTTTGTTTAGTTTTTTGACCCGGTTTTGTGTTTCTGGTTTCTTTCACAGATCCACAAAAAGACGCTCGGCTGCAGACAAACATGTCTCTGTTCTTCTCTGGAGCTGTGACAAGTATGTCAAACACACACACACACACACACACACACACACACACACACACACACACACACACACACACACACACACACACACACACACACCTATTGTTTTGCTGTAGTTGTGAGGACCATGTTTTGGAAAACAACTCGTTCTGTGAGGACCTTTTGGTTATTCCTCACTTAAGATAGGATAAGAAAGAAACCTTTATTGATCCCCGTAGATTAAATGAAGGTGCAGCAACACAACAATATGGACACACACACACACACATACACACACACACACACACACACACACACACACACACACACACACACACACACACACACTCACTATTATGTTATCAACTCGGTAAAGAGGCAGAAACAAAACCTTACCAAAAAGAAAATTGATATATATCTCCAAACATTTGCTGTTGTGAATGTGCCTTAATGCTGTCTAACAAGATTAACCTTATTGTATTACCTTATATTACATTATTATTGTATTACACACACATTGTTTTGCTATACTTGTGAGGAACCTTGCTTTGAAAACAGCTGTGAGGACATTCTGGCGGAGAAATGCTGTGATGATCCTGAGGGCAGATGCCTCCTGTTGTTCAGTACAAATCCTCTTCTTGAAAAGACATTGCATATAAATGCTGTTACACTACCTGTACACATTCACCTGAAGGAGTGCATTTGTGTCGTACTGCCTCCTCTGTTTGTGTCTTTGCTGTCGTTTGGTTTTATGAATGATCTTGAAGACAACAGAGACCTCTCAGAGTCACATTCCTGCAGAGGGTTATCACCAGAGAGAATTTACTCAAGAGGTGTCGGCACTCAGGAACGCAAACTGATAGAAGACAAGTCGTCTTTTTTTAGAAAGAAAACACACACACACACACACACACACACACACACACACACACACACACACACACACACACACACACACACACACACATGTTGCATCAGCTGTGTGTGCAGCGGTGTGTAAATCTATCTCTTCTGGTATCTGTTTTCCAGGTTCACCGATTAAACGAAGGCTACGGGGTCACTCCTGTCAGAGGTACAAAAAAGATCTGCTTCTCTAACATGTATTCATTTATTTTAAGTGTTAAATATATAAATATGTGTTTAAATCCAATCCACTTTATTTATATAGCACAGTTTAAAAACAGAGGGTTTGCCAAAGTGCTTCACAATGAACATAACATTATAATATAATATAATGTTACACGAATAGATAAAAAGCACACATAAGAATAAATACAAGGCACATAAAGGCTATGGACAGACAGTAAAGGCATACACACAGGTAAGACACAGCTCAGACTGACTGGTAAGCGAGGGGAAAGAGGTGGGTCTTTAGGCGGGACTTAAAAGCTTCAAGGGTGGGCGACAATTTGACACGAGGGGGCAGGTCGTTCCAGAGCCTGGGGGCTACCGCTGAGAACGCTCGGTCTCCCCTGGTCTTTTTATTTGATCTTGGGACTACCAGCTGATCAGCCGACGACCTCAAAGCCCTTTAAGGCTATTTTGCTAAAACAACTAATGAAGCACAGAAACTTCTTCCAGGTTTAAGTCAGAAAATAAAGTTTTTCTCACCAGCGTGGAGACATTTTGATATGGGAACCGAACCAAAAACATAAAAAGACTCAAATAAATCAAGAATATTTATAATATTTAATATAATTATTATTTAGATTAACACTCGTGCCGTATTTTGAACTCCAACACAATATCCAGTGTCCAATTATTACCCTGATTGTACAGTATATGTAGCAGCGAAATAAAACATACATTTGAACTCGTAATAAAACTGCCGCCGAGGGAAAGCCAGAAAGCACCTTTTGCTCAGGGAATTATTATCCAATGTCCGGGTGAGAATGTTGTTTCGTTCAGTTTATCACTCTGGGTTCGAACAACCCAAAGTCCAACATATATACAGAATATATATATATATATATATATATATATATACACAGAACTATGGTTTCTCCTGTGTTTCCCATTGTAAACAACCATTTGCTTAAAAGGTAGCACTTAAGAGTTTCACTTAGCACTTAGTATGGTGTTGCTTGTTGAAGTAAATAAGTCAGCACTGTTCTTGTCGTCCTTAGTTTGAATCTTGATGGTTCGCTTTGGATAAAAGTGCAGCTAAATGTATTTTATAGCTGATGCTGACACTAATGGACTCTCTTTGAACGTGCTCAGCCTGGACATGTGTGTAGCTATTGTCTGCATAGGTTATAATGCTAATTAAAGCTTCTTATGCTACATGTGCAGGTTAGCATCCGGCAGTTTCTATGTGCTGGAGACCCTACTCTCCATTTCTAACATAAAACGTTGGGTTACTCAACATTTACTAAGCTGGAAACTGGATTATTAACGGTCTCTCTTTAATATGTCTCCTCAGCCTGGACGTGTCTCTGCTCTCTCCCGACTCCTCGTACGTTTGTTACTCGTCTCTGGACGGCGACCCGAGCTCCTGCCGCCGCTCGCCTCGCCTGCTCACCAACGGATACTACAGCGTGACGGAGGACAGCTTCTCCTGGGACGAGAAGGGGAACGTCTCTCTGACTCCCTGCAAGACCAGCGTCTCCTACAAGGAGAACCTCGTCAGGTGGGACAGAAACTCAAAGTCAACTTTATTGTCAATCTTTCAGTTTGTGTGTACAGACAGAGAGATCGAAATACCGTTTCCCACAATCCAGAATACAATAACAAAGATATATACAAATATATATAAAAATATGTATATCCTATATGCACACATTAAGACATAAATAAATACACAACAATCAATATATGCAAAATAACAGTCACAGCAATAACTTTGAGAAATGTACATTAGTGCGAGTCCATAGCAGAGCAACTCAGAGAAACAGACCATTTACATGCACACAAACCCATGTAACACAATGTGATGATTACATATGCAAATGAGACACTATGTAATGCTTACAGTTGGTTACATTTAGGAGAAATCTGCAGACACAAACAGACAGAGTGAGGAAAATAACCTCCTGGATGTGGGTTTAGGTGTTTTCTTTCCACTAGTCTGAAGGAAGTTATGTCAGGGAAGCAAAGTGTTGACCAGTGTATGAAACGACATGAAGGGTGTTTCCAACAATGAGCTCATTCTCAGCAGCCAGACCTTGAAATACTTCAGTTAGGTCATTCTAATGAGCTACACCAAGACGGGAGTACAAATACTTTGTTACTGTACTTAAGTACATTTTTACTCCACTACTTATTTTTCTGACGACTTTTTACTTTGACTTCTTACATGTTGAACTCAAATACCTGTACTTTCTACTTCTTACATGTTGAACCCAAATACCTGTACTTTCTACTTCTTACATGTTGAACCCAAATACCTGTACTTTCTACTTCTTACATGTTGAACTCAAATACCTGTACTTTCTACTTCTTACATGTTGAACTCAAATACCTGTACTTTCTACTTCTTACATGTTGAACTCAAATACCTGTACTTTCTACTTCTCACATGTTGAACTCAAATACCTGTACTTTCTACTTCATACATGTTGAACCCAAATACCTGTACTTTCTACTTCTTACATGTTGAACCCAAATACCTGTACTTTCTACTTCTCACATGTTGAACCCAAATACCTGTACTTTCTACTTCTTACATGTTGAACTCAAATACCTGTACTTTCTACTTCTTACATGTTGAACTCAAATACCTGTACTTTCTACTTCTTACATGTTGAACTCAAATACCTGTACTTTCTACTTCTTACATGTTGAACCCAAATACCTGAACTTTCTACTTCTTACATGTTGAACCCAAATACCTGTACTTTCTACTTCTTACATGCTGAACACAAATACCTGAACTTTCTACTTCTTACATGTTGAACCCAAATACCTGAACTTTCTACTTCTTACATTTTGAACACAAATACCTGTACTTTCTACTTCTTACATGTTGAACACAAATACCTGAACTTTCTACTTCTTACATGTTGAACACAAATACCTGTACTTTCTACTTCTTACATGTTGAACCCAAATACCTGAACTTTCTACTTCTTACATGTTGAACCCAAATACCTGTACTTTTTACTTCTTACATGTTGAACTCAAATACCTGTACTTTCTACTTCTCTCATGTTGAACTCAAATACCTGTACTTTCTACTTCTTACATGTTGAACTCAAATACCTGTACTTTCTACTTCTTACATGTTGAACTCAAATACCTGTACTTTCTACTTCTTACATGTTGAACTCAAATACCTGTACTTTCTACTTCTTACATGTTGAACTCAAATACCTGTACTTTCTACTTCTTACATGTTGAACTCAAATACCTGTACTTTCTACTTCTTACATGTTGAACTCAAATACCTGTACTTTCTACTTCTTACATGTTGAACTCAAATACCTGAACTTTCTACTTCTTACATGTTGAACTCAAATACCTGTACTTTCTACTTCTTACATGTTGAACTCAAATACCTGTACTTTCTACTTCTTACATGTTGAACTCAAACACCTGTACTTTCTACTTCTTACATGTTGAACTCAAATACCTGTACTTTCTACTTCTTACATGTTGAACTCAAATACCTGTACTTTCTACTTCTTACATGTTGAACTCAAATACCTGTACTTTCTACTTCTTACATGTTGAACTCAAATACCTGTACTTTCTACTTCTTACATGTTGAACTCAAATACCTGTACTTTCTACTTCTTACATGTTGAACACAAATACCTGTACTTTCTACTTCTCACATGTTGAACTCAAATACTTGTACTTTCTACTTCTCTCATTTTCCAAACAGCTGGTTCCTTTAGTCTGAATGTGTGTTTGATGCGTGATCATTATTCTTTAGAGTCATTGCGTGCCTATTGATTTGAACACGATCCGTGGATCCATCATTTCCTGGTCTTCTCTAAAGAAGAGGGACCAATGGAAACGTTGTCATGTTGCCGTTGTTCAGCATGGAAACATTCATTAGCTAACAATGACATTATTGTTCTATTAATATAAAGGGAGGTCAGGTACTCTTTAAAGCAGCTGCTAGTTATGGGTACTTTTTACTGAAGTACATTTCAAAGTTCTTTACTTTGACTTGAGTAAAGAAGTTTAGTCAGTACTTCTACTTTCACCAGAGTATTTTTAAACATGAGTATCTGTACCAGGCCCGGCTCCAGGATGAAATTACTGAGGGGGCTGTTAAAAAATCAGAGGGGGCGATTTTTTTTTTACAACAACGAAAAATACTGGCAATGTAATGAATTGACACACCAAGCTTTTTTCCTTCTCACTGCTCTACAATCTCTTTGCTTCTTTATTTTTATTCCGGATTTACCCCTCTCGTTCTGTTCTTTTCCTCTGATCTTTAATAATAGTTGTCTGTCTTATTTTTTGTTGATGTCATATTGTTTTCACCAGGGCCGGCCCTTGGCATAGGCAGTATAGGCGAATGCTAAGGGCGCATCAACCCATCGGGGGCGCCGGAAATTGGAGAGAAAAATTACATCATGTATTTTTTAGCTGCCCGGATTATAACAGACTCATTCTGAAAACTGCACTGGAACAACTCAACATCAAGGACATGGATTTCAAGTCAATATACGAAAGTAAATCAAGAAATGAAGTCAACAAGCTGATCTTCAAGTTCCTCAAAAACACTGGTCTGAGGACAAGGATTTAATATGAACATTTAATAACTCAACAGTAGGTGGCGATATATGCTCCAAGTGGAAGCGATTCGCCATTAAAGAAAAAAGAAGAAGAAGTAGTAGAAGAAGAAATACGCTAACGCTACAAACAGGCACAACACTGTTACTCTGTTTTTACTGACATATAACATTTGATTTCACCTTGCTTTTTTTTTTTTTTAACGCACGTTAAAAAACGGGAACATTTTCGGGAGTTTCAACCGGGTACCGGCCACCGAAAACGGGGACTCTGCCCGGAAAACGGGGACGTTTTGGTCACCCATCCGACTGTGTTTACAGCTAGCACACACGCTAACATTAAGACTACAGCTCACTTGGGGTTGAGGCTTGTTTACACCTTGCTTGACTGCCGGCCCACATATCTGATCCACACATAGTAACGTGTGTTGGGGAAAATAATTATTTAAAGTTATTTAATAATTGTGACATTTATTGTACTTTTTGATGGATGAATGATGCTCAAAGTGAAGGGGCAATGCCCCCTCGTGGCGCCGGGCCCGATCTGTACTTCTACTTGAGTAAAGGATGTGTACTTTTGCCCTCTCTGCTGATCATTGGTGCTCGAGTTCACTTCTTCTTCTTCTTCTTCTCTCAGGATTTTCCGGCGGCGGCGGCGGCGTCCTCGAGGCTCTTTGGCTCGCCTGCTGAGCGACGTGACGGAGAGCTGTCAGTCGTGGCTGGACGAAAAGGTCTTTAGAGGCGTCTTCGGTACCGCACAGAACCAGGAACAAGACCTGGACCTGGATATGGACCTGGATCTAGATCTGGATCTGGACCAGGCCCGGAGCAGCCGGGACAAGAAGACGTGGTTGAACAGCACCGAGCTGGAGGACAGCCGCAGCTTCAGCTACGGTAACAGATCCAGGATTCACTGCTGAGATTTAAGATTGAAAGGTTCTCACAAATTAAAGATTAAAGTCTCCACGATGTAACATCCATCTTCTTCTATGCAACACAAACTCTACTTGTTCCAGATATCCATTTTAATTAGCACAAAAAGTTCGGTATTATTTTCTGAACTTCATCTATTTTTGTTTGAAATGTATAACTTCCTGTCCCCTGGTCTGGAGGTCAATGGTTACCAACATTAGCCGCCTTTAGGTCAGCGGTGCTGACGTTAAGTCATGTGACCGTGCTGTAGTTCCTTTATAGCCCAACATTAGCCGCCTTTAGCTCAGCGGTGGTGACGTTAAGTCATGTGACCTTGCTGTAGTTCCTTTATAGCCCAACATTAGCCACCTTTAGCTTAGCGGTGGTGACGTGAAGTCATGTGACCGTCCTGTAGTTCCTTTATAGCCCAACATTAGCCTCCTTTAGCTTAGCGGTGGTGACGTGAAGTCATGTGACCATGCTCTAGTTCCTTTATAGCCCAACATTAGCCCCCTTTAGCTTAGCGGTGGTGAAGTCATGTGACCGTGCTCTAGTTCCTTTATAGCCCAACATTAGCCCCCTTTAGCTTAGCGGTGCTGACGTGAAGTCATGTGACCGTGCTGAAGTTCCTTTATAGCCAAACATTAGCCTCCTTTAGCTTAGCGGTGGTGACGTGAAGTCATGTGACTGTGCTGAAGTTCCTTTATAGCCAAACATTAGCCACCTTTAGCTTAGCAGTAGTGACGGGCACCACTATAGCCTATACTGGATACTTTAACCTCCTAATTTTTCTTTCTTACAGTTTGCTACACTGAGCTCTATTGCACTTAAAATATATTTATACTTTTTTCTCTGTCTTTCAGACCACACTGAGATCCCGCCCCCTCCTGACAAAGTGGCCCCGCCCCCTAAGATTCTCATCCAAGAGGAGATTTGCTCTGAGATCTGTCAATCAAAGTTTACCCAATCACTGGGCGGCCTCTCTGAAGTCCCGCCTCCTTCACCCTTCTACACTAATAGCTGCTGTCCGGCCTCACCTGAGCCCACAGGTAACTGAAACACTTCTAAATAACCAGAGTGCCAATAGCAAAAGTATTTTTTTATTTTCTTGGCTTTTTAAATCACTAAATGTGGTTAAATGTCATTTTGTGTTTCTGTTGCACTTTATCTGAATATTTGAATGTGTTTAATTACATTCCTTGAGTTTTAATGCGCTTTATAAATAAACATAGCTTGCCTTTCAACCTGTTTTATTACTTTACAACCATTTCTTTCGATACGATTTAAAAAAAATTGGATAAAGAGAGTTTTGTATTTCAAATATTATTAGAAATTACAAAAAATCTAATGTTTAATCTCATCATTAATGTGTTTGTCTGTATTTGTGTTTCAGGTTTAACGATGAAGGCCCTCCTCCTTTTCATCTTCACCCTCTTCCTCTTCACCGCTCTATACTCGGGGTAAATCTCTATTTCTCAGCATCATTTTTTATATTTTCAAATGCAAATCTGTGTAAAACATACTTATTTATTTAAATATATATGCAGATATTTTGAAAAAGACAGCACTTGTGTGACATTCGATTTTTAGTCTTAAAATCCAATATAATGGTTTTTTGGTTTAACAATAAAATGTGTTTCATGTTTTTTTTTTCCGTCTCCCTAAAGGTGTCTTTTGTGGAGCGCCACCGTCACGTCTACTGTGTTTGTGATGATCACATCATTTATGCGTAAGTTGTTTAACATATTTTGCACGTAAATGAGACTTAATTTAGGGTTGAATAAAACAAAACATTAAATCTGGCTGGAACATATGTTATACCTTTTTACTTAAAGGTCTCCTATTATCCTCTTTATCATCAATATATCACAGGTCTCAGATATATCCAGAGCCTGTCTCTGATTGGCTGAAACACCAAACAGATCATTGCAGCATTACCCATAATCCCCTCTGTTTCAGCCCTGTTTCCAAAGTGCTGATTCTCTGTCTGTTACTTTAGAGCACATGTGTCAAACTCAAGGCCCGGGGGCCAAATCAGGGCCGTGGTGGATTTAATTTCGGCCCGCAGGATAATTTTTAATTACCATTAGATCTGGCCCTCCGGTATATTGCACACCTTCACTCCATCCTGAGGGTCTCCTCAGCTCAGAGCCTGAGCCCAAACATTGATGACCTTGCTCCCAAGATGAGATGCCAAGTATCTGAGCTAGCATCACAGAGCAGCACACTGAGTTCAATGGATGCTTCCTTCTGCACTTTCTCTCAGGACAACAGGGCATGTTTGGTTTTCTCTCTGAGGGGAATAGTTTTGTTGAAGCTGTTGTTGGCCTGTGGGAAAATGTGATCATAAGAAATGAGTCTGGAAAAGCTGCAGATAGAGCCATAAGAAATGAATGCAACTGATTATTTAACGTTTCATGTTGTTTTTATAGGCAATCATTTAAGCCTTGTTAGTTCCAGGTTTAATATGTGCAACAAGTTCATTTCAATAAGTTCTGCAATAAATATTGAACCAGTCCGGCCCTCCGCGTTGCCATTTTTGGCCCACTGTGTGTTTGAGTTTGACCCCCCTGCTTGAGATGAAAACAAGGAGCCCCTCCCCACGCCCCTCTGAGGGGGGGGGTTACCTTGGTTGCTGATTGGCTAATGGTAGAAGAGCGGACACATGTTGATGTAGAAGAGACATGAGGAAGTGTATAAAGCATAGTAGTTGACCGTTAAATAATATGGTACCTGTATCAGAGTATTTTCACGTTACAAATTATGTGTTAAATTATTTTTTTTGTATCAGTCTTGACAAAATCGTGTCCGCTGGGCGAGTGGAGGAGGGCGAAGACAGAGGTGAGTCTGAAATTAAATACATTTTCTTTAATTATGTCGACTGTTCGCGTGGAAATAACAACGACTACTAATTGAATTCTGTTTTTCAGGACATCACATCAAGAAACGAGTAAAGCAGCGTCCGTTCCTCTGCGATGTGAAACTGGAAGAAAGGTGTAGAAACATATTTAACATTTCACCGTCTGCATGTTCGATAGAAGTGACCGTGAGCTCCGGAAAACATTTCACAGCAAACGCTGAAGCTCTGGCTGATAATGAAAACGTTCTGAAAGTAGAACCAAGTAAGAAGTGTCAAGAAAAACTTAAAGTAAATCGAACGCTTTTTATACATTCAACCTTTGAATCGAATGCAAAACGTGCGGGCTATTTGTTACGATTTTTCCTGATGGCTTTTTAAAGTTTCCTGCGATTTAAAAAATAAATTGAACAGGAAATGAGTTTAAAAGACGAATCCGACGACGCGTTTGGTGCTATAAATCTGAAGGAGCTCATTCACAAGGTGACACAAGTTATTGTAGTTTAGCTTTAAAATATATATTGAATATAAAAAAACAACCTGATGTATTTTTGAAATACTGTAAGTGTATCTATCATTGATGACAGGTGAGCTTGGCTGTTTGAGATGTCCAAAGTGAACACATTCAGGTGAAGCCTCACTTCTTTTCAAAATATTTTTTATTAAAGAAAAACAAAAAATCTGAAAATCTACCTGGAAGAAAAAGTGCTTTTTGTTAGTTTCATTCCAAAATCAAGAGATACACATTCAAAGCATTGCTCCTTTTACATCAAAGCTCAGATTCCATTTTGAATTTCTGATTTCCTAGAAAGATTTCTGACAAAGAAAGTGGTTTGCTGCAATATATATGTATTTATTCAGTACCCTCCCCGAGAGCTATTCTGCACGTATATGCAGTGTTCTGGAGGAGTGACGTCAGATAGCCAGGTAACCTATCTGCTGAAGCACAGGGTCTACTAGCTTTACAGACAGCCCCTAAGCCCCCTGCTACACTGCAACGCCCAGCCCATGTTATATGTAGACGTTGTCAGAAGCCAGGCCAGGGAGAGCGTTAATGCTGAGGTTGAGGGGCAGCAGTTGAGGGCCCCATTGTCCACCACAGCAACCTCTGTGGCACAGGAGCGGGAAACAGGTTATAAAATGCAGCATGATAAAGATATGTTTAGTTTGTTTACATCTACAGATTCATTCGTACTGATTGTTAAAACTAATCGAAAGTAAACTTGATTGAAACCGTCAGAGGATTAAATAAATCCACTTATTTGTGCAGCTTTAACAGTTATGGCACGTCCACACGGCAGCGTCGCGTGCTTCAACGGAGACGCTTCCCATTCACTTTGAATGGGGGGACGTCACGCGTTGCCGAACTGCATTGTGGTTCCGTCGCTTTGCCTCCGTCGCTCGCTTCGAAAGTTCAACTTTTCAAGCGTCGACGGAAGTGCCAGCCAATCGAATCATATGCCAGAACAAGCTCTAGCCAATCAAACCGCGTGCTTGTATGTCCGGGGAGGGAGATTAATGTGATTGGTTGTTGGTCGTGCACCAGACACGCCCACCGGCAAGCTTCAACGCGACGGAACCGTGTGGACGTACCGTAAAAGACCTCTGTATTTTAAATATGAAATAATCAAGTTTTGGTGTGAAACTCTAATGCTGATAAGTGCCTTTTAATATCAGCCAGCAGTGCAGACAGAAACTATTACAGGGAAGGTTTAAAGAGGCCTTATTCTGCTCATAGTAGTATTTAGTGCCTCTACTGTGACTCTCTGTTGTGATTGGTCAACAGCTTTGAGATGTCCCGCCCCTTAACCTATCACGTACAATGTGTTGGAGAGCCAATAGGAGTGCAAGTATTCCATAGTGATGTCACTTTGTTCCGGAAGTAAACAAACAAGTCAAATGGAGGATTTTGTTCTATAGGGAACACAGGGATTTTCGCCTTTGCAGACCGTTTACATGCACTAAAACCTATAGGACACTCTGTGAGAGGTGGGAAGGAAACCCCAAAAAGCAGAGTAGGACCCCTTTAAAGCTACATAGCTGCTAAAAACATGAAACAGTGTTAAAATAAAGATGAATTGTTTGATTTATCCTGCACGGTGGGGTCTAAGGACAGTTTTAAGATCTCAAAACAAAAAATATGTTGTAAATGTAACAAATAATAGTTGGGATGAAAACAAATACTCAAGTAAAGTACCTCAAAATCATACTGAAGTACAGCACTTGAGTAAATGTACATTCCACCACTGGCCATGTTGAATACATTTACAAATAATCACGTGGTCTCGCTCTGGAGGAAAACAAGAATAGGTGTGTTCATCGGGAAAAGAAGTGCGGCTATTAAATGTAAAGAAAAACAAAGTACGGTAGCTTTATAAGGTTTCGACTTTATAAAGCTTATTTTTATTCAATTTTAAATCATGTTTGGACCTCAAAGTATGCCAAGAGTTTGTGTTTCGAAGAATCTAAATGTTCAAAATGTCTTTGAATGAATTGAAAACATTTGATATGTAGTTTTAACAGTCTGATAATCAAGTCAAATAGGAGTTACTGGATTGTTAATATCGTTGCATTTTACGTTCTGTTACACAAAGGTATTCATATTTAGGACTACAGTTGATAATGCTGGTGTGACTGGTTGTTTAATGGTCTTTTTATTCAGTGTAAATCTAGAATAATGTGTGTTTTATTAACGCAAAGTGCCAAATGTGTAGAAATACGACGAGTGGGTAAATCAAATTAACAAAAATCAATCTTTATTAGTGATATTTGTGATACTGCTCTGCGTTGTTTGGCATTTAAAGCTGCAATTATGAATGTGTTATTAGAATGCACTGTGTAATGACCCCCAGCTGCTTAAAGAATATTTTAAGCGACCTTTATAGGGGGTTCATTGTTGATAATATGAGCTGGAAGTGTTTTTAGGAGGTGGTGGAGCCCAAACACGAGCGAAAATTGGACTTAAATTCATCATATGGAGACAAAAGTCGCTCGGAAATAATGTAATATGCGATGCTTGCTCAGCTTCCCTCTGGTGGTTGGAAGCATTTTGACGCAGCTTTAAATGACCAATTTTAAATGTGTTTTTTATATAATAGACTTTTACGATGTGGTGTCAAATATTGAATATACTGCAAAAGCCTTTCTGTGACAGAAACTCATTTTAATATGAATTTTCTGGATGAATCAAACCTTGAGATAAGCTCTGATGTGTGACATCTATTGTTCATTGTGTTATAAATATATATACATATATCAATGTTTCTTTCCATTGACTGCACTTTTTTCCAAAGGTGGAAATGTTATATTCTGCTTGTGAAGAAACTTATTATATCTGTTTTATTTCATTGTTTGAATGTTATACAAGTCAGAAAACTGTGAAAACAACTTTAAACGAGGCACAAACTAGATATTACATTAAAATAAAGGCATTTAAGTGATGAATTTGTTACCAATATGCCTTCCTTCAGTGTTTTACTGCATTAAAATCAGTAAATACTCTAAAGTGATTTCTATGAGTAGTAGTGGCCCTTGTCGGCCTGTTGATGGCGCTGCGTTTAAAGGTCTCATTTTCACAGTATTTTGCAAATTGTCAGATATTTACCAGTTAAGCTGGAAATGTTCTATTTTATGTGAATTTAAATGATGTTTACCATCCATTTAATCCTGTTACAAATAAATAAATACAGCGTAAAGACAGATTTCCATTGTGGTCCTTTTATTTGTTCATAAAGACATATTTAATTTGTCTAAATGCAGGAAAGGTTTTGTTTTTGTTGTTAATTTTATGTGAAATGTTTGCTGATTCCAAAATAGGACTAACACAGTTTACCTTCACCCCAAGTAACATTGAAATCATATTTCACAGAATGATGGTAACAATTACGTTTTTAAAGAGTCCTCTCCTGCTGATGTTCAGGTGTATATCAGAATGTAGTGTCTCTACTTTAAAGAGTCCTCTCCTGCTGATGTTCAGGTGTACATCAGTATGTAGTGTCTCTACTTTAAAGAGTCCTCTCCTGCTGATGTTCAGGTGTGTATATCAGTATGTAGTGTCTCTACTTTAAAGAGTCCTCTCCTGCTGATGTTCAGGTGTATATCAGTATGTAGTGTCTCTACTTTAAAGAGTCCTCTCCTGCTGATGTTCAGGTGTATATCAGTATGTAGTGTCTCTACTTTAAAGAGTCCTCTCCTGCTGATGTTCAGGTGTACATCAGTATGTAGTGTCTCTACTTTAAAGAGTCCTCTCCTGCTGATGTTCAGGTGTACATCAGTATGTAGTGTCTCTACTTTAAAGAGTCCTCTCCTGCTGATGTTCAGGTGTACATCAGTATGTAGTGTCTCTACTTTAAAGAGTCCTCTCCTGCTGATGTTCAGGTGTATATCAGTATGTAGTGTCTCTACTTTAAAGAGTCCTCTCCTGCTGATGTTCAGGTGTTATCAGTATGTAATGTCTCTACTTTAAAGAGTCCTCTCCTGCTGATGTTCAGGTGTATATCAGTATGTAGTGTCTCTACTTTAAAGAGTCCTCTCCTGCTGATGTTCAGGGTGTATATCAGTATGTAGTGTCTCTACTTTAAAAGAGTCCTCTCCTGCTGATGTTCAGGTGTATATCAGTATGTAGTGTCTCTACTTTAAAGAGTCCTCTCCTGCTGATGTTCAGGTGTACTATCAGTATGTAGTGTCTCTACTTTAAAGAGTCCTCTCCTGCTGATGTTCAGGTGTATATCAGTATGTAGTGTCCTCTACTTTAAAGAGTCCTCTCCTGCTGATGTTCAGGTGTATATCAGTATGTAGTGTCTCTACTTTAAAGAGTCCTCTCCTGCTGATGTTCAGGTGTATATCAGTATGTAGTGTCTCTACTTTAAAGAGTCCTCTCCTGCTGATGTTCAGGTGTACATCAGTATGTAGTGTCTCTACTTTAAAGAGTCCTCTCCTGCTGATGTTCAGGTGTATATCAGTATGTAGTGTCTCTACTTTAAAGAGTCCTCTCCTGCTGATGTTCAGGTGTATATCAGTATGTAGTGTCTCTACTTTAAAGAGTCCTCTCCTGCTGATGTTCAGGTGTATATCAGTATGTAGTGTCTCTACTTTAAAGAGTCCTCTCCTGCTGATGTTCAGGTGTATATCAGTATGTAGTGTCTCTACTTTAAAGAGTCCTCTCCTGCTGATGTTCAGGTGTACATCAGTATGTAGTGTCTCTACTTTAAAGAGTCCTCTCCTGCTGATGTTCAGGTGTACATCAGTATGTAGTGTCTCTACTTTAAGAGTCCTCTCCTGCTGATGTTCAGGTGTATATCAGTATGTAGTGTCTCTACTTTAAAGCGTCCTCTCCTGCTGATGTTCAGGTGTATATCAGCATGTAGTGTCTCTGCTTTAAAGAGTCCTCTCCTGCTGATGTTCAGGTGTATATCAGTATGTAGTGTCTCTACTTTAAAGAGTCCTCTCCTGCTGATGTTCAGGTGTATATCAGTGTGTAGTGTCTCTACTTTAAAGAGTCCTCTCCTGCTGATGTTCAGGTGTACATCAGTTATGTAGTGTCTCTACTTTAAAGAGTCCTCTCCTGCTGATGTTCAGGTGTATATCAGTATGTAGTGTCTCTACTTTAAAGAGTCCTCTCCTGCTGATGTTCAGGTGTATATCAGTGTGTAGTGTCTCTACTTTAACGAGTCCTCTCCTGCTGATGTTCAGGTGTATATCAGTATGTAGTGTCTCTACTTTAAAGAGTCCTCTCCTGCTGATGTTCAGGTGTATATCAGTATGTAGTGTCTCTACTTTAAAGAGTCCTCTCCTGCTGATGTTCAGGTGTATATCAGTATGTAGTGTCTCTACTTTAAAGAGTCCTCTCCTGCTGATGTTCAGGTGTATATCAGTATGTAGTGTCTCTACTTAAAGAGTCCTCTCCTGCTGATGTTCAGGTGTATATCACAATGTAGTGTCCTCTACTTTAAAGAGTCCTCTCCTGCTGATGTTCAGGTGTACATCAGTATGTAGTGTCTCTACTTTAAAGAGTCCTCTCCTGCTGATGTTCAGGTGTACATCAGTATGTAGTGTCTCTACTTTAAAGAGTCCTCTCCTGCTGATGTTCAGGTGTATATCAGTATGTAGTGTCCTCTACTTTAAAGAGTCCTCTCCTGCTGATGTTCAGGTGTATATCAGTATGTAGTGTCTCTACTTTAAAGAGTCCTCTCCTGCTGATGTTCAGGTGTATGTCAGTATGTAGTGTCTCTACTTTAAAGAGTCCTCTCCTGCTGATGTTCAGGTGTACATCAGATATGTAGTGTCCTCTACTTTAAAGAGTCCTCTCCTGCTGATGTTCAGGTGTATATCAGTATGTAGTGTCTCTACTTTAAAAGAGTCCTCTCCTGCTGATGTTCAGGTGTATATCAGCATGTAGTGTCTCTAGCTTTAAAGAGTCCTCTCCTGCTGATGTTCAGGTGTATATCAGTATGTAGTGTCTCTACTTTAAAGAGTCCTCTCCTGCTGATGTTCAGGTGTATATCAGTAGTGTAGTGTCTCTACTTTAAAGAGTCCTCTCCTGCTGATGTTCAGGTGTATATCAGTATGTAGTGTCTCTACTTTAAAGAGTCCTCTCCTGCTGATGTTCAGGTGTATATCAGTATGTAGTGTCTCTACTTTAAAGAGTCCTCTCCTGCTGATGTCAGGTGTATATCAGTATGTAGTGTCCTCTACTTTAAAGAGTCCTCTCCTGCTGATGTTCAGGTGTATATCAGTATGTAGTGTCTCTACTTTAAGAGTCCTCTCCTGCTGATGTTCAGGTGTATATCAGATGTAGTGTCTCTACTTTAAAGAGTCCTCTCCTGCTGATGTTCAGGTGTAATCAGTATGTAGTGTCTCTACTTTAAAGAGTCCTCTCCTGCTGATGTTCAGGTGTATATCAGTATGTAGTGTCCTACTTTAAAGAGTCCTCTCCTGCTGATGTTCAGGTGTATATCAGTATGTAGTGTCTCTACTTTAAAGAGTCCTCTCCTGCTGATGTTCAGGTGTATATCAGTATGTAGTGTCTCTACTTTAAAGAGTCCTCTCCTGCTGATGTTCAGGGGTATGTCGTATGTAGTGTCTCTACTTTAAAGAGTCCTCTCCTGCTGATGTTCAGGGTATATCAGTAGGTAGTGTCTCTACTTTAAAGAGTCCTCTCCTGCTGATGTTCAGGTGTAATATCAGTATGTATAGTGTCTCTACTTAAAGAGTCCTCTCCTGCTGATGTTTCAGGTGTATATCAGTATGTCGTGTCTCTACTTTAAAGAGTCCTCTCCTGCTGATGTTCAGGGTGTATATCAGTATGTAGTGTCTCTACTTTAAAGAGTCCTCTCCTGCTGATGTTCAGGTGTATATCAGTATGTAGTGTCTCTACTTTAAAGAGTCCTCTCCTGCTGATGTTCAGGTGTATATCAGTATGTAGTGTCTCTACTTTTAAAGAGTCCTCTCCTGCTGATGTTCAGGTGTATGATCAGTATGTAGTGTCTCTACTTTAAGAGTCCTCTCCTGCTGATGTTCAGGTGTATATCAGTATGTAGTGTCTCTACTTTAAAGAGTCCCTCTCCTGCTGATGTTCAGGTGTATATCAGTATGTAGTGTCTCTACTTTAAAGAGTCCTCTCCTGCTGATGTCAGGTGTATATCAGTATGTAGTGTCTCTACTTTAAAGAGGTCCTCTCCTGCTGATGTGTCAGGTGTATATCGTATGTAGTGTCTCTACTTTAAAGAGTCCTCTCCTGCTGATGTTCAGGTGTATATCAGTAGTGTAGTGTCTCTACTTTAAAGAGTTCCTCTCCTGCTGATGTTCAGGTGTATATCAGTATGTAGTGTCTCTACTTTAAAGAGTCCTCTCCTGCTGATGTTCCAGGTGTATATCAGTATGTAGTGTCTCTACTTTAAAGAGTCCTCTCCTGCTGATGTTCAGGTGTATATCAGTATGTAGTGTCTCTACTTTAAAGAGTCCTCTCCTGCTGGATGTTCAGTGTAATATCAGTATGTAGTGTCTCTACTTTAAAGAGTCCTCTACTGCTGATGTTCAGGTGTATATCAGTATGTAGTGTCTCTACTTTAAAGAGTCCTCTCCTGCTGATGTTCAGGTGTATATCAGGTATGTAGTGTCTCTACTTTAAAGAGTCCTCTCCTGCTGAGTTTCAGGTGTATATCAGTATGTAGTGTCTCTACTTTAAAGAGTCCTCTCCTGCTGATGTTCAGGTGATATCAGTGATGTAGGGTCCTCTACTTTAAAGAGTCCCTCTGCTGATGTTCAGGTGTATATCAGTATGTAGTGGCTCTACTTTAAAGGAGTCCTCTCCTGCTGATGTTCAGGTGTATATCAGTATGTAGTGGTCTCTACTTTTAAAGAGTCCTCTCCTGCTGATGTTCAGGTGTATATCAGTATGTAGTGTCTCTACTTTAAAGAGTCCTCTCCTGCTGATGTTCAGGTGTATATCAGTATGTAGTGTCCTCCTACTTTAAAGAGTCTCTCCTCTGATGTTTCAGTGTATATCAGTGTGTAGTGTCTCTACTTTTAAAGAGTCCTCTCCTGCTGATGTTCAGGTTGTAATCAGTATGTAGTGTCTCTACTTTAAAGAGTCCTCTCCTGCTGATGTTCAGGTGTATATCAGTATGTAGTGTCTCTACTTTAAAGAGTCCTCTCCCTGCTGATGTTCAGGTGTATATCAGTATGTAGTGTCTCTACTTTA